TTCCTTCCCTCTCTCCCTCTCTTTCTCTTTCTTTCTTTGTTATTTTTGGAGCTGCCCTGGCCCTGCCTTTTTTCCAGGCTGGTGGGTCAGTGTGTCCCCAGTTCTTCAGCCATCTCAGCACCCTTCCATCACTGTGTGTGTGTGTGTGTGTGTGTGTGTACATGTGTAGCCAAAACCAACCCAGTTGTTTTCCGTTGTGACCATGCAAATCATGACAGAGACAGAGATATGTGAAATACCTAAGTGTATAAATCCACTACACTCTCCTTCCCCCATAGCACCTGCACTGCGCCTGCCTGTGTCACGCTCAGGAGCTCCATGCAGCCTAGAAAATCCTGTGCAGATATCCCCCTTGAGAAACTGTTTACGACCACCACCACCACCACCTTCCCTTGCCCACAGCCTCTGCCCCCACCAGGTGCTCAGACACAGGGAGCTAGACCAGTGCCCTCCAGAGCAGGCTTTCTGGATCCCCAGACCTTGGTGCCCTGTTTAGGCCAGGAAATGTTTTGTGAATGAAACTGAACTTCCTTCTCAGGTTCCAGCAAAGTTATCACCTGTCTCTACCACCCCTCCTCTGCCACCCAGGAGAAGATGGTGGACCACGTGGGCTGGATTCCAACACAACTAGTGAGTGGTGGGGCACTGATCACAGCAGATCCACCTGGGAAAGTGGGGCTGGGTCCTCAGCCCTTTCTGTGGCAGAGTGAGGCCAGTAGCCTCCAACAACACAAAAGCTGCACATCAGCCCTTCCCACGATGGGAGATGAACAGGGAGAACAAACTCCTGTTCTATGATAAAAATGTGGCTCCACAGGGATCATGACAGGCTGGTGCTAGGGGCCAACAGATGACCTGGGATGATACATATGGGCATTCTTGCATCTAACAAGAAATTACACATATTCAAGATGGGTGAGGGGAGATGTGGCTTAGCAATGAAGGATTGTTAGTTGCTGTCAAGTTGGCCCTTGCCTCATGGTGACTCCATGCACAATGGCTGATTTTTCAGAAGTAGATTGCCACGCCTTTTACCCTAGTCCATCTTAGTCTAGAAGCTCCAACTGAAACCTGTTCAGCACCACTGACACACAAGGGGTGGTTGTGCGTGAGGTGCACTGGCTGGGAATGGAACCTGGGTCTCCGTCACGGAAAGTAAGAATTCTACCACTGAGCCACCATGAGTTGGTACGATCCTTCTGATGTGAACACAAAACAGAACCAGAACTGAGGAGAGAGCATATGAGCTTGGAGGTCTGGTGGGCCTGGATCCCACTCATTAGACAGGACCTTGGGCAAAAGCTGTCACCACTGAAAGCTTCCATTTCTTCACATGTGAATCACTGTTATGGCACCTGAAGTGGGCTGGCAGATTGAATGGGAGAAGCCATGTGAGGGGCCTCTCTGCGGTGCGTGTAAGAGTCCTGCTCTTCAGGTACACCACACTGGAAGGGTCTGTTCCATCCAAGAGCCATCCTCTCTCCCACCCTCCTCACCCGATCAGTGGAGCTGAGGCAGCCATGTTAAATCATGATGGTGCCCCTCTTAGCCACAGTTGCCTGAACGGGAGTGAAACCCGACCTGGTCTTGGACAGTCAACCCTTGAGCAGACTAAAAGACTGAAATTGAACATGGATTAGTCTCAGCAGATCTCAGGAGCTATAAAGATAGCCACCTGGGCTGGCCCTGAGGCTTGTGTAGCAGAGAGGCAGAGACCTAGACTGGCAAGGAGCCAAAGAAGGAAGGAACGTCCTGCCATCTCTCCAGTGCACCAAGCAAGGCTGCCGCCCTTCCTTCCGGAGCCTGGTTCTGGGAGACGCCCAGGGTCCTCCCAGCAAACTCCCTTCCCTTTCTGCTTGAGCTCACTCATGTTAGCTTCTGTTCCTTGCAACCAGAGTCCTAACCAATGTAAATATTGTTAAGTGGAGACATGTTTGAAGAAGGGCATCATGGAAGATGAAGAAATGCCGAATTTTAAAGAATGAATTTAGGGAAGCTTAGGCTGAAAAAGAAGCTCAATGTACAGCCTTTCTGTCAGCACTGCCCAAAGACGGAATGCCACTTCAGGAGAGAATGCAGTTGTAGGGGATGGGACAATGGATGAAAGAAGATTCAACCACCACACTGAGTATTAGGCAAGCTTTAGGACATAAGTGCAGATGTTGGGTGCTTTGGGGTACCCTCTCCCCTTCCTCCCTCCCTTAGAGGGGCTTGGCCAGCCTCTCTAAGATGTTCAAACACCACCTTTGCTGAGCTGGGGTTCCCACATCTGCTCCCTGAAACTTTGTGGCTGAGTGTGAGCTGAGAGCGTGCTCCACACATCCACCCAGAACCAATCGCCCCCTTCCCTTCCAGATGGCCGAGATGGGAGACTCAGTGCCCCTCCCGTAGCACTCTTATTGTTCAGGCAGGGAAAAGGAAAGCCAGACAAAAGCGCCCCTGGGGGTAACACAGCAGGAGTGGCAGGGACCAGGGTGAGAATCCAGCTTCCCTCACAGTTCATTAGGCCTCACCCACCCCTCTGGGCACCCTGGTCAGGCTGTGTGTGTGTATACTGGGGGGACAGGACAGACAGACAGAGAGCCAGTAAGTACACAGTCCTGGTACGCATGCCCCTTGGGTTTTCACAGCGAATCTGAGCCTGTCTCTCCTCTGGGCCCTGCTGCCCTTGAAGGGTACCTTTTAATACCTTTTGTAGTTTTCTTTAGAGCATTCTATCTGCCAACACAAAAACACAAAGGGTGGGATGACACTTCCTGCAGCCCCCTAGAAATGCCTCCCTGAGAATATTCCTGTTCCAGTTCCCAGAGATCTGTCACAATTTCCACCAGAGGAAGGTGTCCGCGTATGCCCTGCATGAGGCGGCACAGATGGCCTGCCTGCTGGCACAGCTCTGTGCTCCCAGAGCCCCACCTCATCACCACATCCCACATTCAGAGCTGTGAGTGACAGTCACACTTTCCCATAACAGCCAACCTGATGGTGGGGGGCTAGCAAAATGAAACAAAACTCCTGGAAATGAGTGGGTGGCTCTGAGGTACTGGAGAGCAGGGCTGTATCCTGCTCATCTTTCTGTCCTCAGCACTGTGCCTGGCACAGAGCTCGGCAAATTCCTGTGCATTCAAAGCTAGGCTTCATGAAGGCCCATAGGAGCTACTTCCTCTAAGCCACCAAGGGCTGAAGACTAGACACAGGTGCTCAGACATAACAGCTCTCTCATAAAACACCTGACCATGTCCCTCCACTGCTTAAAAACCCCTAAGGGTCTCTACAGCCCGGGGGTCCACAAACCAGGTGTCATTGGGAACCTCATGTGTGTCAGAAACCCTATGCTCCATAAGGTTTTCTCAATGGCTGATCTTTCAGAAGTAGATAGCCAGGACTTTCTTCCAAGGCACCTCTGGATAGTCTAACAACCTTTCAATTATAGCTGAGTGTTTAACCATTTACACCACCAGGGGCTGCCTGGCCTCTATAGGTAGAATCCAAATTCTATAGCTTATGCACATTTAAACACTTAACAGTGGGCATCTATTATTCCATTGGGCTGCTAGCAATGAACTTCTGTTGGAGGACTTCTATATTATTGTCTTATTGGGAAGCAAACCTACTTCCCGTAACTTAACTTCAAATGCCAGCCTCTCCATCACAGCTTGTTGAAGGATCACAACTCAGGTGCTGCTGACCAAATAAATGTACCCTGTCCCAGTTTCAGTGCCCCACCCCTTCCGTGAGGACCTCTGTCTAGGGGTTGAGTGGCCACAGGACTGAACTCTCTATTTCCTATCAATAAACGCCTTTTACATGTAGTCAGAATGCGTTTCTCTTGCTTGCATATTCTGGGCCCTGACTGACTGGCTTCTCATTTACAACAATGCACCTGTGGAACACCACAAAACAGGTCAACAGTCACCCACCTGGCCCTCAGTGGGCCTGCTACACACACCCCAAGTCTGGCACCTGCCACTTTCCTTGGTGCTGTCTTCTCCATACTTCCCTGTCTCCACCTAGACTGTGAGCTCCTGATGGCCTAGAAGCGACCTAGGTCCCACACATACCTCTGCCTCAGGAGCCCCAAGGAGTACCTGCATATGGACAATGCCAGTAAGAACAGAGCAAGGACCCAGGTTCCTATCAGCATAAACAGTGACTAACAGTGATATTTGAAATATCTGAAATATGGGAGTTTAGTTATTTCATTACTGGTCTCTCTTCCAGACTAAAACTTTGAGTTCTCTGAGGACAAAGATCCTGCCTTGCTCAATCAGTTTCTAGCTATTTTTGTTGAAGGAATGAATGAAACAGGGTTGTGATGCCTGGGTCCAAGGTGAGATGTGTAGCTCTGCATTTGCCTCAATGGGATTCATAAGCAACCTCAACTCCCAGGGCCCGACCCCAGCAGGTATTAAGGATGAGACCAGAAGCTGGTGCATGGTGGACAGGCTGAGCCAGAGCAGAATGGCTAGCAGAGGCCAGCATGACCATAGAGAAGATGACAAGATATCAGTGTTACACAGAAAAGGCTGGTGACCTTCCAAGACATAGCAGCCTCTTCCAGTTGAATTCATGTAAGCCCATGCTGTCAGTCTCCTCTTGCTGATATACTTAATATCTCTTTAGGTCACAGCATGTGCTCAGGGTCAGTCTTAACCCTTTTGTGACCCGTGGGGCATATATCACCCACCAATATTTTAACCCTCTCAGGCTTCTTGAGAAGCTGCTATCCCAGTTGTTGTATATGCTACTGCCTGGCAGGGACCTGTATAACTGAGTGAATCTGAACAAATGGGCCTCACCCCACCAATCCTACGACTAGAGTTCACTTGGGACATATGTGTCCCACATTACATCAAACAATATTTTTTCCCTTGATTTCAGTATGCCTTCCATTACTGAAAGGAGTTCTGGTGGCCTAGTGGTAAAAGCATTCAGCTGCTAACCAAAAGGCCAGCAGTTCAAATCTACCAGTTGCTCCATGGGAAAGCAATGAGGCAGTCTGCTTCTTTAAAGATTTACAGCCTTGGAAGTCCTAGGGGGCAGTTCTACTCTGTCCCAGAATCAACTTGATGTCAATGAATTTTCCATTACTGAAAACACATGGTATCAATAAAAAATTCAAAGCAGAAAATAATTCAGACATGAAAGAGTTAAGCAATTACTGAGGGCTTCTAAGGTTGCAGTGGGCAGTGGTGAGAATGCTCACCTTCCATGCAAGAGACCTGGATTTGATTATCAGCCAATGCCCCTCATGCCCAGCCCCACCCACCTGTCAGCGGACGCTTGTGTATTGCTGTGATGCTGAACAGGTTTCAGTGGAGCTTCCAGAGCAAGACTACAAAGAAAGGCCTGGTGATCTACTTCTAAAATTCAGCCAATGAAAATCTTACACATCAGAATGGTCAGAACTGAAACTGTGGGGATGGTGCGGGACCAGACAGGATTTCATTCCACTGTGCACAGGGTCACCATGAGTTGGGGGCCAACTTGACAGCAACTAACAACAACAAATGAGGTCGCAGGCACTGAGCAAGGAAGGCCCCAGAGGTCCAGAGAGGACAATGCCCCAGTCTGATGCAGTGTTACTGAGTCATCTTGCTATTGAAGCCTCTTTTCATTATATATTTCCCCAGGAACTTCATTTTTAAAAAAAGTTTTTTTGTTCTCTACCAAGTAATCTGTATTTATTAAGTAATAATTTAGTTTCCTCATTTTCCTTTAATAGGAAAAAATCCAAATCTGTCAATCACAGATTTCTGGACAGCAAAAGCTAACCCCTGATTTCATTGACTTTAAAGGATCCCAGCCTAAAACAAAGAAGCCTGACACTGAACTCTGTCTGCAAGACCTTGTAATGGGTAAATGTCTGTTAGGTGCCATGAAAGAGGATTCCCATTAAACCAAAAACCAAACCCACTGCCATCGAGTCAATTCTGATTCATAGTGACCCCCTTTGGGTTTCTAACACAGTAAATCTTTATAGAAGTAGGTTGCTCCATCTTCTTCTGCTAAGTGGCTGGTGGGTTTGAACTGCCAACCTTCTGGTTAGCAGTCAAATGCCTTAGACACTGCACCATTAGAGCTCCTTAGGGTTCTCCATTATGGTGATTAAATTCATCCTAATAGAAACAAGCTCATCAATGAAGACTGTCAGAAAAACCACCTCAGTGAGCCCCAGCCTTCTAATTTGCAAAGAAAGAAACTAAGCCACAAAGACATTATGTGCCCTGTCTGAGGCTGTGCTAGGCAGGCACTAAATGTTAAGGGGCACTCAGGAAGAGAGCTCTTACTGTGGGCTCTCTGGTTCCAAGTGTACAGTGTGGCTGCGGGTGTGGCTACTTGCCCTTCTCCCCACCCCCTGCAGGGTCCTCGGTCTGACTCCTCTAAGCCCAGAGCCCCAGCTGTCATCCCTGGATCACAACCGGCCCTCAGTCTGCAGGGCAAAAGTGTACCTGCTGCCGCTCGGCTGGGGCCAGTGTGGGTGAAATGCCAACTGGCCTGCTGGCGTCCATGCTGTTCTTGGTCAGGGCGAGGGGCTGCTCCAGGGTGAGGCTGGGGATGGATGCGTACAGGTGGCTGCCGTGCAGGCTCACAGCAGGGGCCACGGCACGCTCGATGGGGCTGCGGCTCCGCTCCCGGTGGTCTTTCCGGCAGTCACCATTGGCCGTCTTGTTCCTGAAAAAGAGGAATGAACACTCAGATGGAACACCCAGCATTTTCTGAATGGCAAAGAGGATGCTGACCATGTGCCAGGTACTTCATACTCATTTCATTTGGTTTCTATCTTGCTGCAGGTAAATATTATTATCATCCCCATTTTCTGAGGCTCAGATCAAATAGTTTCCAAGCAAACTGGAGTCTCTGGGTGGTGCAAACAGTTAACATGGTCGGCTGCTGACTGGAAAGCTGGAGGTTCAAAGCCATCTCAGAAGGCCTGGTGATCTACTTTCAAAACATCAGCTAATGAGTGTATGCACAGGGAGACAACTCAGGGGGCAGGAGTGCATGGGGGGAAGGACAAAGGGAAGAGGTAACTATGTGGAGGAAGTGGGAGGGGAGCTATTGCATTGTGGGAAATCGTAGTCAATGTCATGAGAAAGTTATGTGTGAGCTGCTGTATGGAAAGTGAATTTGCTCTGTAAACTTTCACCCAAATCACAATAAAAACTAATAATAATGATAATCAGCCCATGAAAACCATATGGATCACAACAGGCTGCTCCTCAACCATTCATGGGGATGGTGCAGTACTGGGCAGCATCCCATTCCTCTGTGCATGGGGTCGCCATGAGTTGGGAGCCTATTTGATGGCAGCTAATAGCATAGTGGCTAAGACACTTGCCTGCTAACCAGACGGCTGGAGGTTCAAACCCACCAGCCACTCCTCGGAAGGAAGGTTGGGCAATCCTACTTCCGTAGTGATACTGCCTCGGAAACCCAAGGAGGGGTCGCTATGAGTCGGGGCCGACTCGACGGCACATAACAACAACAACAACAACAAAATAAGGAGCCATGGTGCCACAGTGGTTAAAGCAATTGGTCGCTAACCAAAAGATCAGCAGTTCAAACCCACCAGCTGCTCCGTGGGAGAACAATGGGGCAGGCTGCTTTCATAAAGATTTACAGCCTCAGAGATCCTATGGGCAGTTCCACTCTGTCCTACAGTGCGGCTATGAGTCAGAATCAACTCAGTGGCAGTGGATTGGGGTTTTTGTTTAACAACAAAATAGTATAAAAGATAGAGTCCTTGTGTAGTACAAATGGGTAACGTGTTCAGCTGCTAACCCAAAGGTTAGAAGTTCAAGTCTACACAGAGGTGCCTCAGAAGAGCCTGGCGATCTCTTTCTAAAAAGCAGCCATTGAAATGCCCATAGAGCACACGCATGGGGCCCTCCATGAGTTGAAATCAACTCGATGGTAACTGTATTTTAAAGTGAGGAGGCAGGCTGGTAACTAAGCCAAACTGACTCCAAAGCTCCTCACCCTTCTGTACTGGTGGAGAAGCACCTTTCACCAGGTCCTGAAGACACCTCTGTGAGGCCACTGGAATGCAGATAAAGAAAACTCTTCACCTCTGGCCAACAGCACGGCCAGTGCCTGGTCACCAGCCTGACCAACTGACCACAACTACAATCAACTCCATCTGCCCAGATACCAGAAAACTTCTAACCTGTGAGTTCCACGCCAGCTGGGTTTGACAAGGATCCATCATTTAGAGAGGAAGATGTTCATGTTCTAAGACTCCCCAGGCATTTGCTCATGTGCTCTTCCCAACAGCCCTAAGAAGGAGATGCCAACACTACCCTTTTGCAGACCAGGAAACCAACATGCAGAGTAGTCGAGTAACCGGCCAGGCCGCTGGCCAATCACAATGGCAGCTGCTCTGGCACACGGAGTGTGTTAGCTCCTGCAGAGCACAGAAAGCCAAGGGCAGTGCTTCCATTCGGCATGTACTACCAGGACAACGTGCTGTAAGAAGTCCACTGACTAGTCTTCGGGAAGGCCTCTGCTGTATGTGAGCACATAGTGGATGCTGAGTGGAATAAAGGATGAGACAGTAGACACCGTCCCTACCCTCAATTCAACCAGAGCTGGTCTAAAGGCAGTATCATGTATTGCATCTAGTAGACAATGATGTGTAACAGACAGGGTTTAAGAGTTAACCTGAGAAGGCACAGTCCATAAAACACAACCCACTGCCATGGCTCAACTTCAGCTACCTTCCTCCCTGTTTATTCCAGGAGCCTTTCATGGTCCCTCACACCAAAGTACATGTTTCTTCTTTTTTTTCCTTTCTTTTTTCCAATAACTAATAAGTATTTTAATTTAAAAAATATAGTAAATAATGAGTTCAGTGACTTTTCTTTAAGAAATGCAAACTATTCTCCAAGTCTACATGTAGCCATCTTCCTTCCTTAAAGCTAGATGGCCTGCTGTACTAGCAGAGAAGCCCATGCTTGGACAGGAAAAGCTGCTGCCTGCCTCCTTGTTTGGCCAAACACAATATACTAAACTAAACCAAAAACAAAACACACTGCTGTTGAGTCGGATCCAAGTCACAGTGACTTCTCCTTGGGTTTCTGAGGTGGTATCACTACAGAAGTAGATTGCCCAACCTTCCTTCTGAGGAGTGGTGGTGGGTTTGAACCACCAGCCTTCTGGTTAGCAGTCAGATACCTGAGGCACTACACCACCAGAGCTCCCAAACACAATATAATGTAATATAATTTAGTAACACACACCAACAGCATGCTTTACTGTAGGTTCACATGCAGTACTAAGAAATAATATACAGGAATCCCATGTACCCTTTTATCCAGTTCCCCCCCAACAGTAACATCTTATAAAACTGTGTACAATATGGCACAACCAGGATACTGACATTGTACAATCTACCATATTATGCAGATTCCCTGTGTTCATAATGTTTTTGTAAAGCAAGTCTGCCCACGAAAAACCGTTCATTACAATTCTTCAGCAGGTCAGGACTGTCTTCAAGAGAAAGTTCAAACACTTGTCTGTGCAAACCTTTAACAGACACCCATCACACCACTATAGTCACCGTTGAGTTTAATCTGACTCATGGCAAACCTGTATGAATCAGAGTAGAACTGAGTCCACCGAAGGCTGGTTTTTTGGAAGTAGAGCACCAGGTTTTTCTTCTGAGATGCCTCTAGGTGGACTTGAATTTCATCCTTTCAGTTAGCAGACAAACATGTTTACCATCTGCACCACCCAGGAACTCACACCACAACCACCTATGTGCTCCCTCTCTACCCCATGAGCTTTTGAGAGTGCACAGTATCCTCTTACCTCAGTACCTGCAGCGCCTGTCACACTGCCTAGCACACAGGGGCTCTATGAACGAATGAGGAAAAACGGACCCAGTGATCAGACAGGGCAGCATTGTGCCGTGGAAGTGGACCTCTGGGCATGACAGCACCATGGCAGAGGGAAGGGCTGAGGAGTCAACTGTCTGTGTTCTTTAGATACATCATGTGTCCCAATCAATAAACCACTGGGGGCTCTGTGCAAAAGAGTACCAGAAGTGGCATGAAAGAGCTCAGACTCCAGTCTTGGTTTCTTCCTCTGCCATGTGATTAAAAGAATATCCATGCCAGACAGACTTGGCTGAAGATAATCTTACACATGCACTTTTGCCACAAAATTAGCCACATTACAGAAGCAACAGAAGACAGGGTGGGAGTAACTTTGCAGAGACAACCAAACATCTCGTTAGAGAGAATCACCAGGCCTGGGGTCTTGGGACCATAGTCTCAGGGGACATCATGCTCAACTGGCACAACACAGTTCATAAAAATTTTATTCTATAACCTACTTTGGTGAGTAGTGACTGGGGTCTTAAAAGCTTTCAAACGCCCATCCAAGATGCAACTATTGGTTGCCTTTCATCTGGAGCAAAGAAGAGTAAAGAAAATCAAAGTCATCTGGGAGACAATTAGTCCAAAGATAAGATGGACCATGAGAACCTCAGCTGCCCCACCCGAGACCAGAAGAACTGGATGGTGCCCAGCTACCAATGCCAACTGCTCAGAAAGGGATCAGACCTGGAGATGCTGGATAGAGTGGGGAGAAAAATGTGGAACAAAATTCAAAAACACAAAAATAACCAGAATTTCTGGTTGGATAGAGGCTGTTGGAACCCTTGAGGCTATGGCCCCGAGTTCCCCTTCCAGCCTAGAAATGGACTCACTTACATGGACTGGCTCTCAGTCCAACAGTAGAAAGACCCACATACTGAACACCTACCTCATATCGATGCACCAACCTACTCTAGGGTGATGCACCCCTTGGATCAAGCAGCCATGAGACACCAGAGGGGTAGCATTCACATAGAGGGAAGGCTGGACAGACAGGAATGCATGGGTGAGAGGAGCACAGGGAGGAAGATGGTCAAGGGGAGGAGAGTCTTTTACCGTTGGGAACGGTAACCGGGACCGTGAAACCAGATGTGCATGAACTACTGAAAGTAAAACAAGTTTGCTATGTAAATTTTGCACCCAAAGCATAATTGAAAAAATAAAGAAAGAATATCCATGCCAGAGGCTTTAAAGGGAGACTGAATGTTATAGAAATAGAACCAACAGTATCTGGCATAGTGTGTATCGGCAAATGTCAGCTCAATCCAAATCGGCTCCAAGCTTAGTTTATTGATCACTGATAATTAGCTGCAGGGCATTCATAGGACACAAGCATTTCATTTATGGTTTTGTTTTTTCCCTTCTTTTATTCTCTGGTTGACTATATACAATGACTCAGAAGCACTTAGAGAATAAATTTTTCAGGACATTAAGACAATCATGGGAGAATACGTTCTGGTCACAGAGCCTAGAAAATATGTTCCAAATGTGCCACACGTGTCCTAAGCAATTCCCAAAGAATCACTACCCACCACCACAACCAAATAATGCACTTCATACTGAAATGCCATCCCTCTTGGAAGATCCAGAAGGCATTACAGCTTTTTACAATGAATCCCTCAGGGATACAACTGCAAACACCAGTCACTGCTGGCGTAGAGATGAGGATGTTCCACATAACAGGCTTTGGGCCAATCAAACTTGACATAACTAAGTGGCTATTTATTCCTAAAGATATAATGTATGGAAAGACTTCATGGTCACACATACTCATCTTCAGTATCAGTATTTATA